GTACCTATTCCAGGGGTCCATTAGTGCTCTTAGTGTAAGTGCCATACACGCTTACTGTCTATAAACATACTTTCCTCGGTCTCCTCCTAGCTCACTGTCATTCCTCTCCTTTTTCTAAACTAGATGGGTAGGAGGATTTTGCTTAGGCACTGCTGAAGTGGTAAGAGGTTTAGTTTGAACTGCTCTCATGGTCATCCTCATCCTCATAGGCTCTGTTCTCTGGTAACATCAGCCCAGACTTTTCTCTTTCTGTGCCCTCATGATACTTTGAATGCAGCAGGACATTGCTGAGTCATTTGAGTGAACAAAACAAATGCTGATGGATGGGAGTACTCTTGCACATATGTGCAACCGTATTTTTGGAATGCTGCTGTGGTCGAGGCAGAAGAATGACCCTTTGCACTGCTCCCATGGGTCCTGTGCAAAGCTGCCTGAAACTGATGGGAAGATGTGTCTTCAAGCTTTTCAATTCTAAAAATAGTTAAGATACTCATATTGCCTCTGTCCATGTTGCTGTATTAAGTTTTGTCTCCCTTCTTAGATGCTTTAAATTCCTGCATAATGTTCAAAAGGAAAAATCCTTAGTCCGGGTGTTGAATAGTATTTGTTAAAAATCTTCCTCAGCATTCCAGTAATTCTGTTTTGCAGCCACTGTTGGCCTGGGAAAGCAGGGATTATCATGGGCAATTCAAGTGTGACAAGATGAACTGAATCTTATTATCAGGAAAAAACCCCAAACCTAAATTACAAGGGAATCAATAAATGTTGGTGATTTAAAAATCCAGTAGATGCAGCTTCAGAGGACTGGTTGTAACAGCAGAAGCTGAGCTGAGAGTTTCAGATGGGTGAGAGGTGCTAACTGTGTAAGGCAAACATTGCTGCTAAACAAAACCAGTGTATGACCATTGTGGTGCCAGGAGTGCCATTTGGTTTGGGTACCATGATTGATCTGTAATTCTCTGATGAAATCTTTGCTTTTCATTGTGTTGTTTTAATTTTTTAAAAGATATGCTTACATGGTAATAGCACAACCAGGTGTATTGTGAAATACATTCTACTGCGTATGTAAGTTACACCTCATTAAAAAACATCTTGCTTATGAAGTGGCTGCTATGAAGATTTAATTCTGGAGGGACAAGCTTTAGAAATACCTATAAAATAGTAAAACCTTTGTGGTTTTTATCAGCCGCTCTATTGAAATTAATTCTATAAAATATAAAATTAGGTGCTGTTTGTTTAACTACTTACACTATAGGGGTTACATGCCAGATAAAGAAAGGTGTTTTGAATGTACAATAGTTCAAAATTAAGTCATTTTAAAATGAGAATGAATAGTGTGAGAAAATCTCAGTCCCCTTCAGCTCTGATTAGTGGCTGTGCGATACTTAAAGGGAAAGACTTGAATATTAATATGGTCAATGTGTCCTATCTTAAATCTATTCTATAAAAATTAGACTTAGAGCATAAATCACATCTGATTTTTTCATTTCATCACATATTCTGTTTCGCTGTGGGGATTTTTTGTCATTTTTTCGGTTTTGAGGGGTGTGTGTTTTAGTGTGTTTTTTGTTGGATTTCTTTTTTTTTTTAACTTTAGTGTTAGCAGTGTTGTGATTTAAATCATACTTCGTATTCAGAATGCAATTAGAGGACCTTATCTGGATGTTGATTGCAATTTTGCTGATTTTCGTTCAGGACCATGCAGTCTGCAGACACTATAGCCTTCTTTTCCTATCAACAAGCAGAAGTAATACTGAATTCTCAATGAAAGACTGGAGGGAAGAGACAGAGTGGAAGAGAGCAGAAAGTAAGATGGCAGGTAGGTGAAGAGAACAGTGAAATGCAGCTGAATTTCTGTGCATTTATGCAGTACAAACTGGGACTTATGCAGCAACGTGACAAAAATGTCAATTATGACCATATTACTGCAATGTAACTAAAAGGAAAGGCCTGTTTTGGCTCCTGTGTTTGTTGATATATAGCACTATATTGTATGCCCAGTGTCTTGATTGTAATTACATGATCAAAGCTGAATTTAGGTAATGTTATAAGTGCAAATATATTACAATGACAGAAAAAAAAATATTTATGTATGCTTTCAGACCTATCTCACTGTCCACATCTCACTTGACAGTTGAAAGCAGTTAGAACATACCATGCAATTTTTAGAGTTTTATAATATTAAATTCTTAGTAGGTTTTTGGGGTGTATATTCATATCAGTTAATGATGAAATATGCATAAAATGTATCTTAGTGACCTTGTTTTAAGGTACTGCTTTGGATCTGCTCATCTTTTTCTCTCCCAGTCCCCTCACCCCCCCATATTAATATTGATTACAGATTCTGGGACTTTTTCTCTATTCTATTTTATTTTCTTCTCTATATATTCATTGTCTTAAATCAGTAAGAACCATCCTTTTTGACATCTGTGTCTAGAGGCTTGGCATAAGAGGGCATGATAGCAGAATTCTTTCTTGCTTACCTCCACCAACTTCTCTCTCTCCCCCCCATCCTGATTTATTTTAGAAAATTATTGCAATGTTGACTTCCTGAAATACACTAAATATGGTAAAAAAATGTTTAAGCTCTAAGAATTTCATGGTGCCTAGGTGATCCTTATTGTACTGCAGTATGATGATAGCAATTGATTGCAGTTAATATTCCTCATTTTATTACTTACCCTGTTAATGTATCAGATTCAGTTCTGAGAAATTCAACTTTCCTTGTTTCCTAAATGTATTTCACTTTCTTAGATTAGTTGAAAATAAATATGACAGTTACAGATGAGATAAAATCTGGCAGTGCCATTCTTGAAAAACCACATTATAGTCTTCCAGAAGCCTTTGTTCATGAATATGTTAACACCATGTTGACCACATTTCTAGCTTCTCAGAGACAACATTCAAGTTAGAAATTTTGGGGAGTATTATGTAATATGTTTTCTGAACAACTCTTTCTTTAAATTTTCTCCACACAGAAATCCGTGTAAGATTGTAACCTTCCTTCTACACATTGAGTCATATCGGACTGTAGTTGATCAGAATATTGCTTCATTATTGATAAATTTATTTTCTCTGAGGAGACAAAATATGAGTTTTTTGCAGGTGAAGTATATTCTTCTGCTAGAAGCTGCAAAATGGGTCAGCCCAACTGGGAAGATGTAATGTACCACTTTGCATCTTAATTTTGTTTTAATTATTAGGTTAAAAAATGAAGTAACAGAAATTGACCTTGAGCATACAGCGGCCAGTTAAAAGTTATTTAAGAAACAACCCCCCAGTCCCAAAAACCTTGTAACTGCAAATTGCTTCATTCCTCCTTGGAAAGTCAAGGGCCTTGCTGTGTGACATATTTCATAATCCATCAAGTCACTGCTTTGTCATCAGTGTCCTGTTTTGGCCTTACTATGTTATTAATAGGAAATTAAAAGAAATATTTTATTTGATTACAACAATCTATTGAAAGAAATTCTTCCTACCTGGTTAATGGATACCTACTTGGGTCCTCTCTTGAAAGATACTCTTGACAATCTGGACCAAAAAGAACAGTCCCACTGAAGTTCATGGCTCCTATGATATCCTGTGACATTCAACTCTAAACTAGATTTGTGTAATAAAAGCAAGGATTACTTTTCAGGAGGCTAAAAATTCATTACTACATTTAAAAAAAAGTCTTTTTTTGTGTGTGGTGAGAAAAATTAGCTACTTGGAATTACTCTTTACTGTGTCTATTTATTGATTTATTTACATTATTTTTACATAAGCAAACCCTAACTTAAGAGGCTCCTTATGAGCTGTGAGGTCTTGGGTAGAAAGAGGTAAAGCTATAATGTCCTGTGTTCTGTGCAGTTTGCTTTTTGCCCTTCTATATGCCCTCCAGTCAGGGCAGGTCAGTTTTCTAATTGCAGAGTGAGAAGTCATGAATGCAGCATAAGACATAAGGAGTGGGAATAAAGAAGTCAAAACCTGTTAGTATGCCTTTCTAAATCAGTGATTTCAAATTGGATTTGAAATGCTCAGTGCGTTATTGTATCAACTGGTCTCACACAAAAGTGTTGGAGAGAATACAGAAAAATCTGAGCATGAAAACATTTTTAGAAGGATAAATCAAAAAAGGCTGAAATTTCTTGTCTTCAAGAAAATGATTTTGGTAGTTTTTGTAAGCCTTTTTTTCATAATAACAGAATACTTAATAAAACAGTAAGGTCATAAATTGAAGATACTTGAAAAAGTTCTTCCAGAGGGCTGCTGTGGTATAGTATTGAGAAGAAATCAAATGAATAAAATGTGATGTAGTGGAGGATAGTTAACAGCTTTTCAACTTTTGAAGAGGGAAACATAGTTCTAATTTATTCTGAATTTCAGACTATTTTTTTGTCAAGTTCTTTATCAAATGGTCTTAAGAAAAAAGCAGAAAGTATACCTAGATGACTTTATATACAAGGGCAGGCTGAACAGAATGAAACTTTAAAGCATAGAAGAGGTACGTATGTGGGAAGTGCTATGGTAGAGGTGAATACAAAAATGATTGCTGCAGGGGGGATAAGTAGGGACTAGCTCTTCACCATCTTCCATAAGAACCAGAGGAATCCAGTGTAATTATGAGCCAGTAGGCTTAGATGGGGGAAGGAGAAGGAAGGAAACTTAAGCATTTCCCACCCCCCCTCAACTACAGAATTTAACTTGTGAAAGGCATCTCTACCAATTTCATAAGGTCAAAAGTACAAACTTATTTAGAAAGAGACTCGAAAATCAACAAAGAACTGGCTAATGAGTAGCTGTCAGTGAGAATGGTGTGGACGCAACCTGTGACTTGGGAGATATTATCATCATGTATTAATGGTGGCTATTTTGCACATTCCTAGATGCTAGCAGCTATTAAGATGGGCTACGCATTAGGTGCACTAATGTTCTGATCTGCAGTTGCATTTTCTCAATTTCTAATTTGTATATGGCTGTATCTACAGAAATCCTCACTTCAATCTGCTTTGCAGAGCTTAAGAAAAATCAAAATATCACTTGCTGTATCCCCAACAAGATATTCTGCATAAACTATAGGTTGATGTGTAGTTCATTGATACCTGTTTTCTAGTTGATAAAGGTACATTGCTACACCAAGGCCAAAAGTATATAGTGTTTTGATGCCAAATTGGCTTGTCCTGAAACAATTGTTCTTGTCCTGAAAAATACTTTAGGATGTGATGAGGAGGAATGTTTTGAAAAGTTAGCTTTCTGTATCTTAAAGGGCACTTACATTAAAGTTTCTAGTGGTGATTACACTCCATTACATTCTGCCTGACTAGTGTTGATTGCATTATTAAGTGATGATTGAACCTCTGGAATTGTTATAATGTATGTACTGTTGGTGCATGACATGGTAGAAAGCAGTGTCCTTCTACCTCCCAGTTCAGGACTGAGTAAATAAATGCACTGTGCAGTTTTGAATAAATACTTGCACTCTGTTCATGAATCTATGTCTCTGCAATTTATTTAAACAACTCTGGTTGCTTCCAACACTTTGCCTCTTCTCTTCAAAATAATTTGGCAAAAGAATGCTTTCTCTTCTCTGGCAAGTGATGCTCACCGACCTAAACACCTGTCATTTTCTGAGAGCCCAGCTGGGGAGCAGTTAGGATGGAAGCCTGTCATTTAGGGGCCTCCTGGACATTTGGGCTACAAATGAAAGAAAGGTCCAGTTTATTTGCATTGTATTTTATTTTAAACTAACAATTTGTTGCCTTATTTAAATAAAATACTTATTAAATTATTTTAAAATGTATTTATTTAAATGTAAAATGTAAAAATGTTACTAAGGCAGTTCATATATAGATTCAAGTACAACAGTCTGAAAAAGTACATGTTATAAAGCGAAAGTATTATCTAGTGTAGAAACAGTAAATAAAAAATAATTCTTTGCATATGGATCTGACCCTTCAGTAAAGCATACCCTATCGTAAAATGTTGTTGAAGTTATACTTTTGAAGAATCTAAAAGCTTAAGGAGTCACCTTTTGGGTACGCATAACAGATAATACTGTTGTCTGCCACATATTACTTCAGTTTGGCAGCAAAGCCAAAGATTATGGGCTTGTCTACTTGTATCAGCAGAACACAAAGGCTAATACTGAATTTTCAGCCCATTCCTATATTTCATTGGCTTCTGAACTGAAAGTGAAACATATGCCTATGTGGTTTGCTGAGTAGTGGTGAACCTAAGGATGCTTGAATGCTTTTGTGCTTTTAGGCCTAAACTGAGAAGTGTATCTGGAATGTAGGATGTTTCAAGCAGAGTCAAATATGTTACTGGTTTGACAGACCTGAAATTCAACTTGTTTTTAGCATAGCAGTGTGCTTTTGTTGGGGCGGTCTACTTTGACTTGTAGAGTTTTATGCTTGCATAAAGACTCTCTTTTATGCTTTTCGCAAACAGATTTAAAGAAAACCCACACCCCAAAACTGAAAAAAGAAAGAACAGTTCTTGCATAACTCCTAATGGAAGAGCTGTGCTTTGTTCCAAGGTTTAAAAGGAAAATTGAAACAAAAGAAGGACCAGTTAATAGAATGTAGGATGTTTAGGTAAGATGAAGTCAATTTTCATTTACGATGAAAATATGCACTGTCTAGCAAGCATAGTCTGAAGAAGACATAATAACAAATAACTTATCTGCACCTGGGTTATTAGGAGAAATCTGCAGATAAAGATACGTGTATAATGGAAGCTTCAAAAGCTGCAAATATGATGTGATAAATGATACAATGTAGAACACATTAGCTTAGATTTTAATGTTTCTAGAATGAATGAAACAATACATCTATATGCCAAAGCCATATTATTATAAACGTATTTGCCAAAATATAAGACGTAAATTGCACTTAAATTTAGTAACCTGTGATGGTATGTTTGAATGTATCTTTGTGATTAAATGTGAACAATTGGTCCTTTAAGGTAAAGGTCTGTGTATGTGTGATTAATCAGATTGAAATGACAAGGCGGACAGCTCATGCCATGCCTAGTTATCAGAATGATTGATTTTAGTCGATGCTGCTGGATGAAAAAATATCTGTTAATAACTACAGCTGCAAAACTCCTGATGTCACTGATAGCAGAAATCACTTCTCACGTTCTGTATTATCTAGCTCATTTGCAGATACAGAGCATACAAACCGATCCGTTGGAACGCAAAATTATAACATACAGATTTATGCAAGAGGGATGACTGCAAAGTGCGTTCCGTGAGTAGTGTAAGAAGCTGAAAATTGCTGCTGTTGTAGCTGTCATAGACACGTTATTCTTTGGTATGTGTGGAGTTTTTGCTGTCAGGCTTTTATCCTGTAGATTGTTTGTGCTGTACGTCTCTTCCTGCTTAAAATGGAAAATCAGTCACTGAACCTGGATGCTATTAAGTATTCTTAGAGTAGTTCTTAACTAACTTGGTTGATTTGCTCTTTCTGATGAGAGAACATTTAGTTGTTTATTACAGGCTCTGAACAAACATGTTGTTCCCAAATCAACAAATGAGATTATAAATTGCGTTGCGTCAACAGAATTGTTTACTGTAGGTATATTCCTTGCCATATAATATTTATCTGTTTAGCTGGTATGTCTTTATTTTGAGAGATCTGGAGCTTATCTTCATCAAACATTGTGTCTTATCTGCATTTTGCAGTTATTAACAGGGAATGTGGGTGTCTTATGGACCTTAGAGGAGGAGTGGGACAACAAATATTCTTACGTGTTTGGTAGGATGTGCTTTTCTTGCATTCTGTCTGTTTACTACTGTGTGTAAGAGTCTGCCCTTCCCATTTATATGGCTTCCCTTTCTCCCCCTTACCATTTGTTCAAGGTGCTTAGCACCCAAAGGTGGAATAAGCCACTTTTTAAATTTTTTTTTTTTTTCCCTACCCTCTCATGTCCGTAAACTGCAGAATAAACACAGGTCTGAGAGAAGTACAAATCCTTTTACATCAGTGTTAACTGTTTCTTCCCCTTCCCCACTAATTCACCCTTTGTTGTTCTAAATCCAGCCTCTTACCCAGCCTTTCTCTACTAGCCTTTTATTTGCCATTCCCCACTGGACTAAATCAACATATTTCATATACCTCCAAACACAAAAATGCAGATTCTTATAGTCCTCTGCCACTGCAGAATTCACAAGTGCATCCATTTTCAGGAAGCACATACAGTGGTGATCTGAAATGCTGGGGTTCTTGCTTTCTTGGAATGATAAAATTGCACTTTCCTCTTTCAAGCTTCTCCTTTCTGTTTTGTAGGCAAGTTCTTCAACTCAAAAATGTTTATCTAAAGAACCCCAGACTTGTTGAATACATATGTTAGTTCATGATGCTGCTGTTTAGTTGTAGCTGGTATTCTGCAGAAGACCCTAGTGTGGTCACAATGTGGTCACATAAGCCTCAACATCTTATGGATATAAATGATAAGGAAAAAACCATTAAGTTACAAGAAAGCAGAAATGATTCTTGCTTAGTAGGATATTAAAGCATTACTGTCATTATTATTTGTTCTTATTTCTCCAGAGGACCTCAGACTTGATTATGATTCTATTGTGGTAAGTGCCTCTATCAATCACAGGGAGATCAAGTCCTTGCCTAAAGATGTGCATATAAAGATACCCCATACAGCAGCATGCCCTGAAGGAGCTTAATGGTAATTTCATAGGTGCCAAATATATTGAGTTCCGGTAGACTGGTATGTTTCTGAAGTCTGATGTATTTCAAGATTAAAACTTCTATTTACTTATTTTAATTATTCCTGTTATTCTCTCAGGAATAGCTGTGATGTAGAAACGAGAGACTTGCCTGTCTTTCAGATCTGCAACCTTCTGAACTTTGGATATTGCCCTTCTATATGTTGAGAAGGGATATGTGGGAATTCTGTGTTAGATGCCTTCATATAAGAAATGGAAAACTGGGGATGAATCTGCACTTTACTTAGGAATTTACAGGTGAATTATCCCTTAATCTAAAAGTAATGACATAGTAGATAATAAACTTTTGCTATTCAGAATGGACCCAGTTACCCTCTAAATGGCTAATTAGTTTGAAATACTGCTGGCCACAGACAACTATAATTTACATTCCCTTGCTTTCCTTTCTTACAAATAATGAACATTTCACTAAACTGCAAACACACTTTTGTCCTCTGTTCAAGCAAAAGAATAAGAGCTGAATTTAAGCATGCTCATGTGTGAGGCGTGCTCCTGAGTTCAGCATTTGGTTTGTTTGCAGTGAGAACTAAGAAGATACCTTTAGAATGCTGCTGGTTGTACTTATGAGTGAGAAGAATCCCAGCCATGAATGTGAACTAGGAGGAAGAGACAGGAATTTTTTGCTTCACTCTTTTACTAACATCAGTAAGCTATTGATTTGGCCATAAGATTGAGTGAAGATGCACCACCTAAGGAATTTTAGATAGAAGGTCACAGTTTAACACCCAGTGCAGGGCATACTTACACATCTGTTCCATTTCACAGGGCATCCACTCCATCTCCAGGCAGAGCTGCAGGACTCTTCATGTATAAATAAATAACCTGGTGTAAGACAGATTATGTTCCTCAGATATCAATCACTGGTAAATATCGTGTTTCTACTCACAAAGTAAGAATAGTAAATGGAAACTCATGAAGATTTCAGGTTGCCATTATATTTACAGTCCTGGGCTCACTGCTGAGAATTATTGGATGTTTTTGCCTCTGAATATGGGCTGAAAGCTTCAGTGGGATACTCATTTCTTGCTTGCCTCTCAGACTTTCAAATCAACATTGATCTTGGTTCTTATAACCCTACCTCTGAATCACTGTATATAATGCAAAAAGCTACCAGATCTTTGCCAGTTAGGCTCAGTAAGAAGCAAACCCCCAAACACAACCTTTCCTGATTCTTTATCTGGCAAATGGTTTGGGCCAAATTGAGTGTTGTGTGAGTATTGCGAGTATTGTATGATGACAGGGACTGATTGCACTGGGGGAAAAGGGGAAAAAATAAGACAAGCTTTGGAGTGCCTTCTAGTTAGCTGCATGATGGAAGGACAATCGTTTCATTCCCCTTCCTTCTACCTGGCTATTACCTCTTTTTCTGTCAGCAGTCAGACATCCCCCATTTCCATCTGCAAGTAATACATCCCTGTATGTGCTGATGTCAAGAGACAGGGTTGGTTCAACCCTGGATTATTGCCATCTTTCTGTGACAGTGACTCCAGTTTCTTCAGCCTGAGTGCTTCCCTCACCAGCCTCTCTTCTCCACTGACTGAACCAGAGGTGAGAAACTGTTTACAAAATTCAGGAACTCTGCATTGGAGACTGTTGGTGTATTGAAAGAAACCACAGTTGGGTGTTCTGAGCCTAAACTCTGATATTTTCCAATATAGATACAGCTGCTGTTTCATTGCTTACAAATTTTAGCATATTAAAAAATAATTCCAGTCATGTTTCAATATTTTTTCTTATTATATTACATTCTGTTTATTTTTAGCGGAGAAAAATATAGTTGGAATATATACATTCTTTGTTTTTTCCTTGTTCAGTATATCAACAGCTTAGCCTTTGGTCATTTTTAATAAACAGAATAAGAAGGAGCTCAAAGCTTGCTAAATACTTATGTTTTTTAATCACTGTGGTAATAGGGATGCATTTAGGTGGATAGGTATGAATATTTGTTAACCTTTTCCTTCTTGACATAACTACTCTTATTTTAGGGTTAGATTTTTTTTGTTCTGTAGCATCCTCATTTAATAAGGAAAAGACACTCACAAACAAAAGTAGCCCAGTCATGGAACAGTATCAGCAGAGCCAAAACCATCTCAGCCAAAATGGCAGCTAAGGGGTACACAGCACTTCATTAATCTGGTTTGGTCCACGTACCCTGGAAGTAGGCCTAAGGAAAATCATCACAACTTGGCATATCTAGCTTTATCCTTCATGAGCTTTAATGTGGAACAGATGTATGTTAAGGGAAGATTATTTTCAGCTTGAGTACAAGGAGTATGATTTTTTTTTAAGTCCTCCTTTTAATTCCGTTTCGACTTAACAGCCACCAAAAATTTGTTTTCAGCTTGTCTCTTCCTGACAAGAATTTGTGTTTTCTGCAGTAATGTTGTACTCCATACAGCATCACCGTTAGCACACCATGCGCTTCATGACAGTAGGCCTCCTGAATATTTTGACAAGATTGCTTCAGGTGACACTATTAGTTTCTATTACAGAGTAAATGATTTCCAGATAAGAAGAGATTTGGCTTACCACAAAAATGTACAGCATTTTCAAATGTAGAAATTGGAAGCTTATTTTTGTTACTTGTATGAAACAGTCACCTAGGAGAAAGCCATTTATGAACTGAGAAAGGGAGGTAGAGACTTTTTAGAGGTATTTTCATCCAATTTTGATTCTCTTTAATTATCTTAGGTATTCTCAAGCATTTTTTTCCCAGTAGATTCATATTTCAGCCAGTATTTCTGACAATCTATTTTATGCTTCATTGACCACTAGGTTTGAAATTCTAGCCCATGTTGGCACAGTAGTGCCAAATTTGTAGTGATAAATGGATAACTTTTTTATTTTAAATAGGTGTCTGTTATTTAATTTGAGGTTTCTAATTTTTTTTTTCAGTTCATTAGTTCTGCTATTTTTCTGTCTAGGAAAAAGTGATCAAAAGAGACACAGGGATCAAGTGGAATATTGCTTTAGACTTGTTCATACAAAATAAAATAAGAAGAAATGGATTGTCCAAGGAACTGTAAATGTAATCCTATCATGTGCTCATTTTTCTTTAACAATGAATTTGCTGGATTTATTTATTTATTTATTTACTGAGAAATGAAAGATCATATTTTTCATGGTGATAGTTTTTTCTCTACCAACATTGCTACCTTTCAGAACCTATTTAAAATGTGCAACTCATAATTCGTAATTGGGTAGTATGCTTGCTAATGCCATTTTAATAAATTTCTTGAATTTCAACAGAATGTTAGGTTTGCTAAATTATAACCTCCTCTACTAAAAGCAGTAACACCTCCTATCATTGTTTAAATGTGCTGTACTATGCAATTATAAAGAGGAGGAAGCTGAAGAGGAGATTAAACACTGAGAAAATGCTTCTATTTTAGCATACTCTCTGTTGTTCTTTATCCATTTTACAGTAAACCACATTTCACCATAAACAGGCTCTGAATACAAAGAGTTAGTCAGACTTCTGCAGAAGTTTACTTTTATATTCTTGGTCTTTGAAATCTTATAGAACTTTTTTTTTTTTTCCTCACCCTAAACCTCTCCTCATAACCTCATTTCAAAACAAATATTTCAGTAAATTCTAACAAACAAGCAAACTGAATCTTCTTACACTTTCCTGCAAAAAAGGCACCAAGTAATATCAGTTCATTGTGTAAAATCTCTCTGGCTGATCAGTAGATACTTCAGGTGTATACTAAATCTTACATAAGGAAATCTATATAGTCTATGCATACAAGGTGGTGTCACTTCCTTGAATAGGAGTTTGAAGTTTTCCAAGGACAATTTTTAAAGGAAAAAAAAATTAAAAAATGATGAGAAACTTGGTAGCTGACTGTCTTGTCATGTGGCTGCTTTAGCTACTATAGCCTGGATTTTTAAAATCTTCATATTACTGTAATTATATTTTATACCTAAATTATGATTCATATTATTATCTTTCTTCAGATTTTTTTTAAATATTCTTATGTTTTCCTATGCTGTAATAGCTGTGAGAGACTGGCTTCTATATAGGCTGCAATTAAATAAAGAGGACAGAATGAGATTACAGTATGTCAAGAGGGCAAAGAAGGGAATTGCCTACCTGAGGCCAATGAATAGCTTGAGAACACTGAACAGTATTATTTTATATCTAAAGGCAATGCAGAAAATTAACCAATCCTTAAACTAGCAATAAAGTGCTTGCTTCTGAAACTGATAAGTGACATTGTAATGGCATAATGTGATGAGGAATAGGACTAATTTTGCTTTCTATTATTTACTGTAGTAAATAATAGTCTGTGACTTGTATGCACTTGTGTGTTGCATTCCCCTGTGTATATTTTGTGTTGTAAACTATTCAAGTTTTTGTGTGTGTCAAGCCTACTTGTGTTTATTTTCACATGGAAAAGCCATTTATCTTGTATTTTATTTTCAGTTTTTCCAGGAGCCCATGGTAGTGAGTCACAGAATCATAGAATATCCTGGGTTGGAAGGGACTCAAGGATCATAGAGTCCAACTCCTGACACCTAAAATCTAAAAGTTAAAGTTAAACCATATATATATATTTCTATATAAAATATACTCTTTTATATATAAGAGTATTTTAAATATAAGAATATTGTCCAAACACTTCTTGAACACTAACAGACGAGGGGCCATGATCACTTTCCCGGGGAGCTTGTTCCAGTGCTTGACCACCTTTTTAGTAAGTAACATTTTCCTAATCAATCATAGAATCCCAGGTTGGAAGGGACCTCAAGGATCATGGTAGAAGCATGATCTAGATAAGATGTCACAGCATACTGTCCAGCTGAATCTTAGAAGTGTTAAGTATTGAGAATCCACCACTTACCAGGGGAGATTATTTCAGTGGGTGATTGTTCTTACTGTGAAAAACTTTGCTCTTGTGTCCAGCCTGAATCTCTCTGAGAGTAACTTTACCCCTTGTCTTTTCTGTGTGACTCCTTGAAATAAAGTGGTCTTATTTTTTGGGATATGTTTAAGCTTCTTTTCACAGTGATTTCAAAAATCTGATTGTTTCTAGAAATGCTAAACTGTTACATTGTAGTACAAACAGATCTTTTGGTTAAGGAAAGATGAAATGTTTCAACTGGCACGTATTTATGAGTATATGTACTTGTGTATACAATATGTATATATACATATTCATATGTATGCATGTATACAATATATGTATGCATTTAATATATGACATGTATCTATACATTCATATATGTAAAATACAGCTTTATGCATATAATACTTACATAATGAATAAATTGTAATACTGACATAATGACCTGTGATAATAAAAACATATGCAAAAATTTGATTGAAGATTCCAGAATGCCCAGGTGAATTTTCGTCTGTAAAATTCTGGTGGGAAAGCTACCATTTTACTATTTTCTTCATTGTTACAATTTCAGTAAAGCTGTTTTCCATTAAAAGGAAAAGTAAGTGAAAAATAAAAGTAATTTAACACAAAACCTTCTCTTTGGGATTTTTTGACAGGGTTTACTGTTGGATTTCAGCAGGCCTGTGCATTTGAGGAAATGGTTTGTATTGCGAGGTGTGCTCATTGTGCTTCCTACCATAAGCTCTTGAAATGAAATACTTCTAATACTGTTTAGAGATATCATTATCCCACTCCTACATTTGACTGAATTTGGCCAACAAATTAAAAATCCACTGCACCTAGAAAAATAGTGTGATCTCAATAAGCCTAATTTCTTCAGAAACCAGGCCAAAGCAGTGTTAAAAGAAGACAAAAAGATAAAGTGCTCATAGATAAGGAAATGCAGAAATATGTTTAGTAATCAGATCAGCGTTTTTTGAAGGGAACTAAGGATTTTTCTTGGGCTGGGGGCAGGGATTGATTACTGGCTGATCTCATCTATAATTTGTCAGTCTTAAATTATTTTGATACCTGTGATTTTGTAACATAAGCAATGACACTTTGAAACAAAATTCTCCTCCTCCTCCTCTTTTTCTTGCAGATTTTATTTAAAGTGTTGAAGGAAAAGAGTTGGAAGGAAGGGAATTTGGCCAAATTTATATCTGTTGTAAGAAAAGTCAGATTTGGGAAAGGCAAGAAAGAACTTCCAATGTTTTAGCATGCACTAGAATATTAATAGACAATTATCACAATTAAATAACCTGGTTTCTGAGTAATGTACTAGTTTTCAAAACCAAAGTATTCCTTGTTGTTTCT